TGCTCTGTCTGGATCTGTTGCGCGTTGCATTCGCACTCACGTTGCGGCAGCGGGGCACGGCTTTTGGCGATTCGCACCAAAATTATCGCAAATGCTAAGCGAGAGCTGCAAACAGTTCAAGTTTTAATGGTCCATTATGTGTATATTTGTGTGCACATCAAATTTATTGTATCAGATCGTAAACATGGCCTAATGTTGGCTATTTAGTGTAAAACCCATAAAACCCAAACAAATGAAGCGTCATCGCGTTTCTGCTCATATTTGAATTCATAATGGTTTCGGTTTCGTTTTCGATTTCAGTTAAAAATTATTCAAAATTTGGTTGGCCAAGCGTGAATTCAATGCACGACCAGGTGATTAGATTGATGCGCAGAAGCTGTAACTGATGAGCGCGGGCACAAATTTTTGGGCACTATTAAGCGCCCACAAATGGCAAATGGAAGCGGAAAGCAATTTAAAAACAAAAAAATATGATACGTGCGCGTACGTATACGCAATATCAATCAATAATCACATTTAAATACGTACACGAATAATGGAAACAAATATTAAAGGCGACGCTGGCCCAGTCAGTTGGGCAGCAGGCTTCAAACGCAACGGTTCGCTGCGCACGCATTTGAAAACCGATACAAATACCGATACCGATTGCGAGTACACGAGTACGAGTACCTTGTTCTGTTTCGCTTCGATAACGATAACTCAAGCATGAGCGGCGATAGTGAAAGTGAGAATCAGCTGAGACGCGATCGTGATTTGGCCGAGCTTTGCGAATGGTTCGCTTGCAACGAGAATCTGCCACAAGAAATTGGTAAACATCTTGCCGGGCAAATGATGCAATGCCCCGACTGGCGCTAGGCTTGCAGATTGATTGGGGGAACGTGGGGCATTGTTGAAATGTTGCCAGCGAATGTAAACACTTGTCTCCATCGACCCAAACATGCGCCAATAATACTTAATGAGGTCGTTAGTAGGCAGAGAAGTATTTCGGCCATTTTAATAGCCTGCATAATATGCTGTATGCTGGGCAGCCGTTACGTCATTGCCCATCTATATATGTATATATAAATATTTTTACAATATATACTCATGCATATCTGTTTTGGCAGAGCCCCTGCTGCTGCGCCGCTTCTATCAGTGCATGTACGGAAATGTGGAGGACACCAAGAAGCTCATCGAGGTGAACTATGCGCTGCGCAACAAGCATCCGCATCTGTTTATTAAACGGGATCCGCTGGACGAGGACAGTCGTCGCACCTTTGACTATGCGTATGCCATATATCAGTTGACATTTTGGAATAAGTTTTAGATTTCCGATTGCAGGGATATCTTACCGCTGCCGGGTCTGACGCCGGATAACTACAAGGTCTCGCTCTACTGCTTCAAGGACTTTGAACCGTCCAAGGTAAGCATGATTACAGTTTGATCTAATTTCTATGCTGCTGCTGAACAGCATTTCGTTTGCAGATGCATCACACGGAGGATACGCGCGCATTTTTCATGGTCACCGATTGTCGCTTCATAACGGTCGATGATCCGGCTCGACCCGAACTGCTGTCGGAGGGTGAGGTGCAAATCTTTGATATGAAGGGCACCACAATGCGCCACATATCGCGTCTAACGATCAGCACGCTGCGTGCCTACATCAAGTTCCTGCAGGTGGCGTTCCCAGTGCGCCTCAAAGCCATCCATATGATCAATTGTCCCACGTATCTGGATCGCATTGTGAGCGTGGTGAAGCCGTTCATTAGCGACGAGGTCTTCAGATTGGTGCGTCCCATCATCATCAAGTATATTTGGCCTGTTCTCGAATTCCATTCATTTTAGATACGTTTTCACACATCCAACATTGACTCGCTGTACACGTTCGTGCCGCGCATGATGCTGCCCGAGGAATACGGAGGCTGTGCCGGATCGCTGGCCACGCTGCGTGAGCAGACCCAAAAGGTTCTGGCTGAGAAACGGTGAGAAATGCTTGAAGCAGCTTATACTTATGTGGTTGACCGAATGTTATATTTTTTAGCGACTATTTAATGGATCCCAATCATTGGCACGTTGAAAAGCCCGAGAAGCGTAACGGCAAGTCGTGGAAGCTGTTTAACTAAGGCGGCTGCACGAAGACCAATTGACAATTTTTTTTTTCATAGATGTAGTATTTGAATTTGTTTACTTTTGTTCATAATTGTGTAGCTTTTGCATTTGCAGTGTATTTATGTTTGTATATAATATTTGAAATATGGGTTTGTTCCTTTGAGGGTTATTAAACAGATGCCTTATAAAGTTCTTAAAGTTTATTGGTGTTTAAAACAATTGTGAGTGCAACAATACCTGCACAAGTCAGCTGACAAGAGAATATAACAATGTATTAACAACAAATTAAACAATGAGCTAAATGTAGCACAAATTTACTATTATTTCAAATACGTTTGTGAAAAGTTATCGATTCGGCTAGCTGTCTGTGTAATCGATATATGTCGTATTTATTGCCGCGACTCGATAGCTTCGACGCTGCGCTGTAAATGCCAGAATAGTGAGAAGAAGAAGCATTTGCAATTGGCGCATCTCTAATGCCGTGTTTATTTTGAGGAGCAGCAGCCGCACATATTCCTAAAAAAAAGTACGTTTAAAGTGCTGTAAAGTGAAATTTTATTGCTTTGACGAGATTCCAACCACAATCTAAACATGGAACGGCCACAGAAAATGCCCAAGGTGGCAAAGGTAAGTGGTTAAATTAACCGAATGCAGCGAACGCACCTCAACCAAAAACGTTTTGCTTTCAGGTGAAAAACAAAGCGCCAGCCGAGGTGCAAATCACCGCGGAACAGCTGCTGCGCGAGGCTAAAGAGCGTGATCTGGAGATATTGCCGCCGCCGCCAAAACAGAAAATCTCCGATCCCGCCGAATTGGCCGATTACCAGCAACGGAAACGTAAAACGTTTGAAGATAACTTACGCAAAAATCGCATGGTGGTCAGCCACTGGATCAAGTACGCACAATGGGAGGAGCAGCAGCAGGAGATACAGCGTGCACGCTCCATATGGGAGCGGGCGCTGGACAACGAACATCGAAACGTAACGCTCTGGCTGAAATATGCCGAAATGGAAATGAAGAACAAACAGGTGAACCATGCACGAAATCTGTGGGATCGTGCAGTCACCATAATGCCACGCGTCAATCAGTTCTGGTACAAGTACACCTACATGGAGGAGATGCTCGAGAATGTGGCCGGTGCTCGGCAAGTCTTCGAGCGTTGGATGGAATGGCAGCCGGAGGAGCAGGCATGGCAGACGTACGTGAATTTCGAGCTGCGCTACAAGGAAATCGATCGTGCCCGCGAAGTCTACGAACGGTTCGTCTACGTCCATCCTGATGTTAAGAACTGGATCAAGTTTGCGCGTTTCGAGGAGACGCACGGATTCATACACGGCGCTCGGCGTGTCTTTGAGCGTGCGGTTGAATTCTTTGGCGATGATTACATCGAGGAGCGCTTGTTCATTGCCTTTGCACGCTTCGAGGAGGGCCAGAAGGAGCACGAGCGCGCGCGCATTATCTACAAATATGCACTAGATCATCTGCCCAAGGATCGGACGCCCGAGCTGTTCAAGGCCTATACGATACACGAGAAAAAGTATGGCGATCGGGCGGGCATCGAAGATGTGATTGTGTCCAAGCGCAAGCATCAATACGAACAGGAGGTGGCCGCCAATCCCACCAACTACGATGCCTGGTTTGATTATCTACGCCTAATCGAGGCCGAGGGCGACAAGGACCAGATACGCGAGACCTACGAGCGCGCCATTGCCAATGTGCCGCCGGCCAAAGAGAAGAACTATTGGCGCCGCTACATCTATATCTGGATCAACTATGCGCTCTACGAGGAGCTCGAGGCGGAGGATGTGGAACGCACGCGTGACATCTACAAGACCTGCCTGGAGCTGATACCACACAAACAGTTTACGTTCAGCAAAGTGTGGCTGCTGTACGCACAGTTCGAGCTGCGCTGCAAGGAGCTGCAGAAGGCGCGCAAATCTCTGGGCATGGCCATTGGCATGTGTCCCAGGGACAAGCTATTTCGCGGCTATATCGATCTGGAGATACAGCTGCGTGAATTTGAGCGCTGTCGTTTGCTATATGAAAAGTTTCTCGAGTTTGGGCCCGAGAATTGTGTCACATGGATGAAATTTGCCGAACTGGAGAACCTGCTGGGCGATACGGAACGTGCACGGGCCATTTTCGAGCTGGCCGTGCAGCAGCCGCGCTTGGATATGCCCGAGCTACTCTGGAAGGCGTACATTGACTTTGAGGTCGCCCTGGGCGAAACGGAGCTGGCACGCCAGCTATACGAGCGGCTGCTGGAGCGCACGCAGCATGTCAAGGTCTGGATATCGTTTGCCAAATTCGAGATGGGCGTCACTCATGGCGAAACGGATGCTGATGCCGACATGAGCATATGCCTGGCACGTCGCATTTACGAGCGTGCCAACGATATGCTGCGCCAGCTAAACGACAAAGAGTCGCGTGTCCTGCTGCTGGAGGCGTGGCGGGACTTTGAGCGCAACGTGAACGATGCTCAGTCCCTGCAAAAGGTGCTCGACAAGATGCCGCGTCGCATCAAGCGGCGACAGAAGATCGTCTCCGATGATGGCGTCGAGGAGGGCTGGGAGGAGATCTTCGATTATGTATTCCCCGAGGATGAGATGGCGCGACCAAATCTCAAGCTTCTAGCCGCCGCCAAAATGTGGAAGAAGCAAAAGGACAATGACACGGACACTCAGCCAGCTCCAGCTGAAGATATTAAACCACCACCAGCTCCAGTTGATGCATAGAAAGGTAACTATTCCCGCCGCCCCTTCCCTCCCGCTCCCCTCCTTTATACCACAGCAAGCTCATACACTTTAAAATAAAACTAAAATGGAATTTGCGTGCAGTGCTTACTTTTATTCAATTTTATTTTTAATATTTGAAACTGTGTGTGTGTGTTGAGTGGCTTCTACTAAGGATTGCTATATAATATTTATATATATGTTCTATATATCTGTTCTGATCGATCAACTATCAGAGCTAAATAGCTAAAAGTTGTAGTGTAGTTAGTATATGTGTTGTAAGTTCCGGCTAAGATTGTGTTTTCGCTCGCAAAATCATTTCAGACGTGTTTCACACTTTTCGCAAAATCCACCCTCTTTGGCGGAATACGCGCGTGAAACATGTTGTCAGCGAAAGTTGAAGTTTTAAATGTAGTTTTATGCATTTATATTTAACATCTTACGAACGATGAAAATGGATAGAAGATAATGTTTAAAATCTTGGGCTCTGGTAAAGCTGGAAAATCCGATTGGGAAATATCATCCTAATTTGCGAGCATATAGTCAAGAGCAATAGATCTGTGATGGTGTTTCATTTTACAAGGGATATATATAAATACAATACTGTGTATATCTTTATCTGAGAATTTCTGTGGATGTGGGGACTCGCATATTTTTGCCTATGTCAAAACCCTGGCCTTACTGAAATATTTCGTTTCTCGGATATAAGTACTATATCTATAGATCCATCTCAAACTCTGATTATGGATTTCTAGATGTCAAAGCATACGATTTTTTGATTTTAAATTGGGCTATAAAAGTTTGAGGTACGCCAGGCTCCTAATTTTCCTAGAGATAACTTTATCTCTATGTATAGAGATAATTCTCGGAGCTCTACACGATAAGCGATAGTTCTCTAGAAATATATAGACAATATATATTTGTTTACTTATGTTTGCAATGATCCAAATTGTGCTCGTAGGGATCTTTAGTTTTTTGGGGGATTTGGGGGACCTAAGGTCCGTCTACCTTTAACTTGAAAAATTGTTTACAATCTGCTGAAGGCATTACTTTGCAGGGATCTGGGTATTATTAGAGTTTAGTTGGGTAGTTGCTTCCTCAGGCCAGCTCCTGATCGCTTACTTGGCTCTCAGCAGCAGTGTGAAGACGGACCAGGTGGACCTGACGACCTGGAAGTAAATCCCAATGGATGGACACAGTTGGCATATTGAGAAATGTGTTTTCGTGTGTGTACCTGAAGGAATGTCCTCAGTGTGACGGCTATGTGGCCGCCGGCATAGATGCAGAATGTCTGCTGGCTGGTCATCAGGGTGATTACCAGGGTGCGTTTAAACTGCGGCGTCTGCTCCACCCAGTTGCAGGCATAGAAGGCTTCGCAGAGCTTCTCGCTTTGCCCGCGCATGCGATCCCCAAAATAGCAGATGATGAACACCTCCAGGGTGACGGCGATAAAGAACACCATGGACAACGCCATGGCGGACAGATCATTCGAGTCCGTCACGTATAGAAAGTGCATGCCCACGGTGCACTGAACGGCCGCGGAGCAGAGGAACTGGGCCAGGCAGGCGATCGATAAGATCTGCTGAATGATCGCGTGCAGTTTGATAATGTTAATGTAGTCATCGATGCAGCGGCACAGCTCCACGTGGGCAATACGACGATAGTGCTGTTGATTGTAGCTGTCCGAGCGCGTACTCCACACCGGATAGCCAATACGGCGGACGCGCAGCTCCAGGGCGCGCATATGGCCCGTGAGTATGCACAGATAGGCCGGCGGATAGGAGTCGTTGGCACAGTCCTGCAGTGCCTGGACAGTCAAACCGAGCAGCTGATAGCCGCAGACGCAAAAATATGCCGCATCCGAGTGCTGCCAATCGATGCCGAACCAGGCGGGATACAGCAGAGTACGCTCCCGGCTGATTGTCACACGCAGACAGCTAAGCGCGGTGCCGAGCACAAAGATGCCGGCGAATATGCGAAAGCTCTTCCGCGCCATATTGACGGCCAGCTGGAGGGCCTCCAGCTCCTCGGGATGCTGCACGTCGATCGCCCGTCTGTCCAGCCGGCGCAGCAGATGCCGGATCTCGAACAGCTGGCGGCGCACCAGATACACATTGATGAACTTGAAATTGGCCGCAATGTCCGTTATGGTGATGGTCAGATTCTCGCACAGCTCCTGCAGGCTGTGCGTGAAGAACAGCTTGGCCAGCAGCGTCAACGGAAATAGCAGTGTGACCAGCGCATTGATCAGAATCGCGCGCACCAGATACAACGGCCGGGACATGCCCGCCGGCTGGATCAGGCCGGTCAGCTGCCAGACGCGCCAATGATACCGCACAGCATCGTGCGTGTTCAGTTGCCAGATCCTGATCTCATACCCAACCCTATTCCCATGCCCATCCCGTCTGCTCGCCATTTCCACATCCGTTTCGATTAGCTGCGGCGCTTCCTGCAAGTAGTCCATTGTCGTTGTTCTCCCAGCTTTTTTGGTGTCCTTCCGTCCGGCACACTGGCATTTATAGCCTTCGGTCCGACTGTCCGACAATTACGGGCTCCATTATAGACCATTATATAAACGAAAGTTCGTAATGACAGTGAAACGTTCAAAAACAACCCAATCAAAATTGCATTAAAAGTTCGCTGTTTATTTTCTGTTTTGGATTTTATTTCGAAAAGTTTATCAACTTGGCTGGTTGCGGGAGGGGGGGGGGGGGGGGGTGGTGTGGGTGGTTTTCAATCAATCAATCAATCAATCAGTCATTCAATGGAAAGAAACTAACTAAACGGCGGGTTTTAGCGGCAGGCATTTAAACGCTCCTCGAGACAATTGCAGGTCATTCGGCAGAGACATTTCTCATGATATGATACAAATGCACGTGTGTGTGTGTGGGTGTGTAGGTGTGTGTGTGTGTGTGTAGGTGTAGAAAATGTTCTTGAGCCCGTTTTCTTGTGAGTGACTTGAGAGATGGGCGTAAGGACTGAAGGAAAAGTTTTGCCAATTAGTCCAATTAGAATTTGCACAACAAAATTCAAATAGGAAACGTTTCATTCTATATTCAATGGGAAAACCCATAACAAGAGCGAACAGTTGTAAACAATTAATCTAAGCTAATCTTAAAAAAAAAACAATATAAATAATACATATTTTCGGCAAGTAAATTAATTAATTTAAACTGAAATTGAACGAACCCCAGCCCGAATCGAAGTAATTTATAACTAGACTCTTCCAAAAAATTCGGAAGAAACTCAATTATTGACCTATATAATATCTGATCGAGATTAGATTTCATAAATGGGGTCGAAGAAGTCAACTTCTCGACTTGGCAGTTGATTTAGATCAGGTTTTAATATATATTCTAATGCTTGGCTAAGATTATGGCGCTGATTTGGATTTGAGAACCAGCAGAAAAGAGTTCGCTGGTTCAATTTAGGCTGCGAACCAATTGGTTAGGCTGCTTTGCCGCGTACTTAACTATATATTCATATACTTTCAACATTTTACAAATACAAAATTGCAACTTTTTAGTTTTTTGTTATTACTTATGCCCATTGTACTGAAAATATTGCAAGCTCTATATATATTTTCTTAAACAAGATGTGGGCTAAATTTGATCCCTAGCCAAAGTTTGGTTAGCTAAAGGCAATACTTGGGGCCAAAGTTATTTATATGAAATAACTATATGCTTTGGTTCGGGTTGCGGTTCGACTGTTTTTACAACATAAATCATAATTGCGAGCGTAAAAAGAAGGCTTTTTTTTAACCTAACTATAAACATTGGAATACATAATTTATAGGATTTCTTTTTAGCGAGAATCCAAATCGAAACTCAGGCTAAGCTAACAAAAATCTTAATAATCTAAACAATACCTATTAACTACTTTCTTGCAGCTTGAGCAATAAGATATATATATATTTTTTTTTATTTTCGTGACAATCGTGTCTATTCATAATTGTGCCCATCTCTAAGATATTGTAACGGTAACAGAGTAAATAAGTCGAATATGCATGTGTGTTCAATTGTTTACGTGTGTGTGTATATATGTTCTTTGTATATTTTGTATATATGTATGTTTTATCTTTTCAATAGCGTTCACATTAACTGAAGAGGCGTTAGTATGCTTAAACATGTGCACATATATATACATATATATATATATACATATATATATATACGTATGGATTTATATAGGTATTTACAGGGAAATTGCAAACATGATTTGATCTATAGGCAATTTACATAAATATATATATATATATATATATTTACTTGTATTAGTTGGGTTAAGAGTATAAAGCTATGTGTGTGTGAGTGTGTGTGTGTGTGGGAAGCAGATGCGGATGCGGATGTTTTGATAAACGGAGAAAAAAACACAAAAACAAATCGTAGATGCACACAATAGACAATAAATGTTGTTGTTTTCTTTCGGTTTTTAAACGCAATCTTAATTTGTAATTTTTAAGAATTAATTTAAAAATACAATTAAGCAAAAATACGTAAATATTAGCAACTAAATTGCTTACAAAGTGTAATTCATTAAACAAGACAAGAAACATTTGAATATAATATGTTTATAGCTTTTAAAGCTTTTCCTTGTTGTTTTTTGTTTGTTTTAATTTGATATTTAAAAATCAAAAAAAAAATAAAAAACAACAGGGAAAAGCCAAGTGGAAATATTAACTAGTTTACAATCGGGCACTCCAGAAAATCGATTATAAATATTTTAAATAAATTAATTTTTTTTTTTTTTTGGTTGTTTTTTTTTGTGATTTAACTTAACAATTAACAAATACAATGCGTTACGTTACTTTACGTTGCGTTACATTACGTTACGTTACGTTACAATCAACAAATATTTTTAAGTTGAGTTTGGCGCAAAAAGCAATCAATTTAAATATGTTATTGTACAATCGAATGCAATTAACAGCTATTCGAATTCTATAGTTTATATTGTTTTTTGTTTTGTTTTGTTTTTTTATTGAAATTTGTTGATTTGCATTCCATTTATTGAATTAAGCTCAGTTCTCGCTCGCCAAATGAAGAATGCAACACAAAATTTATGTAGAAAATGATTATTTGTTTTTGTTTTTTTTTTTAGTTTTTAAATATTTTTGTTTGTTTAGTTGATTGTTGTTAAACTATTAGTTTTTTTTTTTTTTTGGAAAGGGTCTTGAGCTGCTTTTCAAGGCAAATGGGAAAGTTAATTATAATAAATTAGTTAATTGATATTTTAATTTTTTTTTTGTTTTTTGTTTTTTAGTTGTCAGCCGCCTGCTTGCCCGGCTCTTGCTCTATTGCATTTAATTCGCTTTGATTTTGTTTTTGTTTTTGATTTTGATTTTGGTTTTGGTCTTTGTTTGGACTTGTGGCATCTTTTGTTACTCCGACCTTAGCGGCGGCGTTCTGATTTGAATTTGCATTTTTGTCTTTGTCTTTGGCATCCTGCAAAAGAATAATGTATTGATGTATGCCAGCGATATATATGTATATATATATATGTATATATATATATATATGTATGTTAACTAATTGTCTAAAACAACATTTGCAGATTCAAGTTAAACAAATCTCCTATCGAGAGACTCGCAGAAAGGGAACCTAAGCTAAATTTGTTGTGCCTGCTGATGTTTCGAGTGTGTTTGGGTGTGTGTGCGTGTGTGTGTGTGTGTTTGGGTGTAATGTATCTTGGAGTGAACAGAGATTCATAGATATCATAGCGTATATGATGGGGGTAAGTTGTTTCGCTTTGCAGCTCGTCTCCCGTCCGGCTAATAGAGCTGCCTGCTTGGTTGATTGAGGGGGGGAATGTTGGGGAATTGAAGGAGAAACACATTAATATTATTTGCTTGGCTTAAATGGCGACTTACCTTGGCCATCACCGTGGCGGCCTCCTGTTTTAGATACGTAACGCGCGCCGTTTCGTACAGTGAAACAAATTTGTCGCGCTGCACCTTGAACTGGGCGAACAGTTTGTCATCTTTGTTGCCCTTGAGGCGATTCTCGATGTCCAGCTTGGCGTTGTGCACGGCGCGTATTTCATCATTGACCCACGGCTTGTCAATGGGATACTGATTGACCAGATTTTTGAGCGTCTTGATGCTGCTCTTGCCCTTGACCACCTGCTTGATCAGTTTCGGATTTGGCTTCTTGATTTTGCCACCATTCAGATTGCCGTTCATGTGGCCCATGTTGTACGGTATAGGCACGGGCGGCATGCCGCGCGGTGGCATGCGTGCTCCCATCATGTGTGGACCCATCATTGGCGGCGGCATTGGCGGACCGCCGCGTCCGTTGCGACGCATAAATGCCGGTGGGGGCGGCGGCGGTGGACCGCCCATCGGTGGCATTGGACAGCGCATCGGCGGCATCGGCGCTTGATAAGGCATCGGCGGATATGGCGCCATGGGACATGGACCACCACGTGGTCCCATCGGTCCGCCGCCTGGACCCATTGGACCCATCATGTGACGACCGACGTTACGATTAACAGGGCCTCCCATCATTTGTACTCTGTTGTATCCGTTACGCTGTGGTCCATTGAAGCGATTGACATTGGGCGCCTGGAAACGTTGCTTGGGATGCGGGTGCGGATGCGATTGCCAGCTATTGTCGCCCCCACCGCCTCCACCTTGTTGCTGCATCTGTGACGCGTAGTGCGAATTGTGCGGATGATGATGTTGATGCTGCTGTTGTTGTTGTTGCTGCTGCTGCTGCTGTGACTGTTTGCCTTTAAGCTGTTTACCTTTTATATGTTTCTTTTTGCCGCCATCTACATGGCCAGAACCAGAGCCGGCATTGCCGGCTAATGCGGATTGTGTTGGCGGCGCGGATTTGGTGGGTGGTGCTGGCGCCGGTGTATTAAAGTCGATATAGAGCGGATCGCTGGGCATCTGGCAGGATGAGTACATCATATGATTCTGTGTCAGGGCCTGCGGCCGGTAGGGCGGCTTACGATACGGTGCAATTGCGGCACGTACATTTGAGCGCTGTTGCTGCTGCATAACCCGGTTATGTTGGAAATGATTACCTTTGGCTGCCATTTGGAAAGCAATTTGGTTTGTTGCCAACTTGGCGTGTTGCAGTTTTCGCCCTGACGCACTGTCAGAGTAGAAAAAAATATATATGAAATTTCTATCACACGCTTAAATATTGCTAGTTCAATTGTAGTTGTATATTTCGTAGGGATGAGCAACAAATTGACAGGCTGTGACTGTCAAAAGTATCGATTCATCAATTAACAACCAATCGATACTGCGCCTTGTTATCGAATTTGAATAGCAAGTTTAAAATGAATTGAAACTATAATTATAGTTACATTACATAAGATATAATCAAAAAACATATCACTAAGTACTTAAATGACAGATTTAAAAGGAAATTCGAGTTTTACATACAATTTTTAGCAAACTACTCGAATGAACAAATGTCAAGTTCAGATCATACTTGCATCAAAGCTTGACAGACTGCATACAAGAACTATTATACTGTCCATTAAGCAGTTATGTTATATACATCAATTATGAATTAACGCCTAGAACATAGCGTATTCGTTAATTCGAATTTGAGTCTGCACACACATATATATGTGTATATATATATATATAATTTTAGTATGTACACACTGTTTACTGCGCAGGTTCAGAACAGCTGTTCAGCCTAGCTGCCGTGCGTCTGTGGGCGTCGCAGCTACAGCTACAGCTACAGCCTACGCACAGCAACAGCTACGGAAAAGCAAAGGAAGAACTTTGCCTCGCAAGTGGCGGGTCGCAAATCGCAACGTCCAGGTGCAAAAAAAACCGGGAAAAAAAAAACTAAATAAATAAAAATAATAATACTAGAGCAGAAGCCATGTTTCCTTATTTGCGGAGTCAACGCGTCAATTTGCAGCTGCTGCAGGAGCAAGCCGCTCGCGAGCTGGTGCTGCTGCTGGAGTCCATCGAGGGCAGCAAGGTCATTGTGATGGAGGAGGCAATGATTGGGCCGCTGGACTTGATTGTCGCACCGAAGCTAATTACGGATCGCGGCATTATGCTGCGCCTGTTGAAGCCGGAATCGCGTGTGCCCAACGAGATGCGCAACGTTGTCTACATTGTGCGGCCGCAGGTGCTGCTCATGGATCAACTGGTCGCGCACATGAAGACCAATGTCCAGCAGGGTCGTCAGTTTCATATTCTGTTTGTACCCCGGCGCTCCTGCCTGTGCATCAAGCAGCTGGAGAACATGGAGGTAATTGGTGAATTTGGACGTTTGGAGGAGCTCACCTGGAACTTTCTACCGCTCGACGCGGACGTGGTCAGCATGGAAATGCTGCATGCGTATCGCGATGTCAGCATCGATGGCAACACCACATCGCTCTACCAGGCGGCCATTGGGCTGGTGCAGCTGCAGCGTCTATACGGCCGCATACCGAAGATCTATGGCAAAGGCGTGCTGGCCCAGCAGGTCTGGCATCATGCCAAGCAGCTGGCCATTGACGAAAAGTCTCTGTACAATGGCGATAAGGGCGCTATCGATCAGCTCATCCTGCTCGATCGTGGCATCGATCTGCTCACACCGTTGGCCACACAGCTCACCTACGAGGGCCTCATCGATGAGTTCTTTGGCATACGGCAGAATAAGCTCAAGCTGCCGTCTAAGCATTTTCCATTTGATGCAGCAGCAGCTGGCGGCTCCAGCAGCAACAACGGCGGTGCAGCCACTAACCCGGACAAGCTGGAACGCCTAACGGGCGATACTGGCCGCAAGACCATATTGCTCCATTCCGGCGATCAGCTGTACGCCGAGTTGCGCAACAAGAACTTCAATGAGGTGCGCATGCTGTTGGCACGCAAGGTGAAGGACATTCAAAGGCAGATGAATCTCAAGGATCGATCGACGGAGGAGATTCGAATCTTTACGGAAGAGAGCATGCAACAGCTATTGAATGAAAAGAATGCTATATCCGAGCACACGACCATCGCTGGACTCATCGACGAACAGCTGAGCGTTTATTCGTTCAATGATGATCTGGCCGCCGAGCAGGAGTTCATGATCTGTGCGGACATTGACAAGGCCAGCGCCTACATTGAGGATCAGATAGCACGCCGAGCCGAGCTGCGCAATGTATTGCGTCTAATCTGTTTGCAGTGTGCCGCCGCTTCTGGTTTCAAGGAGCGTGTCCTCAATGATTACAAGCGCGAGCTGGCCCAGGTGTACGGGCTGGAGGTGTTGCTAACGATCAGCAATCTGGAGAAAGCCGGACTCCTACGCACCCGGACCGAGTCGCGGGCATATGCCGTGTTGCGCAAGGTGAGTACCGCAAGCGAGTTGAACGGAAGAGCGAGTAGCGAGTAAAAAAGAACGGGTAGCGAGTAGAGTGAAAGTATGAGTAACGAGTGGCGAGTGAAAGGAAAGAATGAGTAACGAGTGGCGAGTGAAAAAGAACGAGCTGCGAGTAGCGAGTAAAAAAGGAGTAGCGAGTAAAAAGGAAGAACGAGTAGCGAGCGGAGAGTAAAATAGAATGAGAATCGAGTAGAGAGTAAAAAGGACGAACGAGGAGAGTAGCGAGAAGCTCAGATTTGACTTGACACTATTAACTTTGATGCACGCTCTCACTTCAGACCCTACATCTCACCGTTGATGACAGCGTCGAGATCAATCCGAAGGATATTAGCTATGTGCACAGCTTCTATGCACCACTCACCGCACGTTTGGTCGAGCACTCGCTCAAGCCGCTTGGATGGCAGACTCTCAAGAGCCAGATCAACAATTTGCCGGGTCCCACATTCGAGGACTTTCAGGTGCAATTGATTGGCATCGGTGGTCGTCATGGCGTCAGCGGTGCCACGCCCAACGAGTCATCACTGTTGGACGCCAGGCGCGTGGTGCTCGTCTGCTTTGTGGGCGGCTGCACATTCTCGGAAATTGCCGCGCTGCGCTTCCTGGCCGCCCAGGAGGACAACAACGTGGAGTTCGTGATTGCCACCACCAAAATAATCAACAAGCATACATTCCTCGACAGCTTGATGGGCATGTGAAGGCAGCGCCTGAGCCGCTTGGAGGCACATCGTCTATCCATCGCCTGTGGCTTGACACGCGGACGGAACGCCTCCATTCCAATGAGGCCATGACCAAAGCATCGCCACCAGCCGAAGCAGCAGCGCAGCGTTCTCTTTAGATCGGAGCAGCCGCCGCCCAAGCAACCCAATTAGAAAAGTTTACATCTTATATACAACTACAAACATACATATATTAATATGCAGAGCTTATCAATGTTATTTTTCTACATAATTTACACACCTACAAGCACACACACACACACACACACACACACACAGAGACACACACGCCTGCAAACCTTTCAAGTATATTAGAATATGCCTGCATATAATAACCGTTAATGTATTTATGTATAACCCACTTGTATACATATACTTTATATGTGTAGAGTTTGTGAGTGCAAAAGCTTTTGAAATCCTTTATATGTCAACTATATATGCATATATATATGTCTGTATGTACGTATGCCATATGCATACACATATGAGCATATATGTATATGTATGTAGTTTGCAGTAATCCTGTAATCCAAGGCTCAACCTATTGATGTTACGCATGTTTACACACATATGCATAAAGATATTTATATATAAAGAATTATATCAACATATATATCCATATATATATAAACACGACATGGTCGTTGTCCAGTCTCCGCTGAAATCTTTCTAAATGCAAGAATTGCAGAAAATTGATCGAACTACATTCCGCGATTTCGAAACTAAACGCATACTACATCTATTCAAGTTATAAATTATATATATATATATATATACATTTGTATATGAGTACATACATATGTTTAGATATCGATATAGTTTTTGACGAATTATTGTTGGACCTGCATATTGTTGGCGGGAAAGGTGACTGGTCACATATGTATGTACATCTATACAGCTACAACTTTATTGAGTTCAATAAAAAAAAACAAAAAAAAAAAAAAAGAAATGTTTAATACGATTTAGTGGCCGGATTTGTGTATATAGAAACTGAAGTGTATGCAGACCCAGCTGGAGCCTTGCGGTTATAGAGAGAAACCCTAGAGATCGGCTGGAGGGCGAGTGCAATAACTTCTGAAAATATGAATGTGGCAAATGTGTTTATGGTTTTGTTTTCGGGTTTTTTATTATTATTATTTGACCCCAATATTAAGCAGCTAGTCGCATATCTAAAGACAACAATTAGTCCTAGTTAATAATCGCCAATTGGTATTTTGATTCTTTTTTTTTTTTATTTTGTCAGCTTATGCAATGCAATGCAATGTTTATAATATTCTTTAGTGCCCTACACTATATAGTATTATATTAAAAATTCATATATATATGTACATATTTGTTGATTTTTCTTCATTTGTTTTTTCCCCTTTTGCTTTTTGTTGTATTTTGACTTTATGTTTTATTTTATTGACGTTTATCATTTAAATTGTTAATCGTTTATCCGCTTCAAAAATACAATTTGTTAATAATAATAAAAAAAACAAAAAAAAAAGAAGAAAACAATATTATTAACATAAAAAATATTACATATGTATGTTCTGTGTTCTGCTGTTATCTCTCTCTCTCCCTCTCTCTCTCGTCCTGTCTCTCTCTGCCTCGTGCTCTTACTGCTTTCTCTTTCTAAAACTGTTAAGTTATTTCTTTGCATTTGTTGATTTCCGTGTTAAATCCATTGCAAAAGTAACTAGGTATGCACTAGAATAATACTAATGATCATTATTATTATCATATATATATACCTCTTGTTATCTCGATATTATAATATATTAGTGCGACGCGTCAATTTATCTACGCATTTGTCCCACGCTCACGTCTTTATTGTTAGATAAAATTATGAATTATTTGCTAACGGAAAGGTTTTCTTTTTTTTATATAATTTTGTTTTTGTGGAATTCGCAGTTTATCATTTTGTTTACTAAAAATTTTATTGCTACAAATGTTAAATTTTATATCTTATGATCGGGGCTCGTGAATAGGTGTGCGTGTGTCTGTGTGTGTGTGTGTGTTTATTTGTATGCGTATACGACAACAACAAAAAATAACTGTCACATAAAACATAAATTGTAATTAATTAAACATTCATATGCATTTAATTTTCTATACAATTTTTATTGTTTTTGACTAAGCATTATGCAATTTGAATTAATTAATTCTATAATAGGCTTACTTTTAGTTGTGGTTCTTTTATATTTGTTATATTTTGTTTAATTCATATTATTTATTTTGTTTTATTATTATTTGCAAGTCCGATATAAAATCAAAAAAAAAAAAAAAAAAACGTAACGTAAAATTTGAAAATTTTGGATTTCAACAACATGCAAAAATGGCGCCAAGCTATTTTCTCAATCAAAATTAGTTGGTGATGGATCTGCTCCTGGCATGGCATGGGCAAATCCTCGCTACCACTCTCTCTCTCTCTCTCTCTCTCTCTCTCTCTCTCTCTCTCTCTCTCTCTCGATCTCCATTTGTCTCTTTCACTTGATGCCTTGCTTATCGGCTGTTTGTGCAGTGGAGCGCGCAATCGATGGCGTCCCTCTCGGCGAGAATCTCCGTTCTAACAGAATCTTCGTGTATTTAACGACTCCTTCAAGGACTCTGGATTTGTTTTTATATATTTTTGCAATACACGATCGAGTCGTTTGATAACAAAGAAATTAATTAAATTATCATGTAATAATATCAAAATTTCAAAAAGAAAACTTAAACATTTGCACACATTTAGGTCGATCCCTATATATATATATATATGTGTCTATATATATATATATAGATGTAGATATACAAAGGTCGATAATTTTGCTGTTGCTTGTGGTTGTCTGTTTGTTCTTGTTGTTGTTGTTATTGTTTTATGCGATTTGCGTTTGACAATAGTCTTACATTTAAATTATGTATTTATGTTGTGTTTTATATATATATATATATATATATATAAATGTATATATATATATATATATTTATATTTTTGCTTGTTTGATTTTGTTTTAACTTTTGTTAAATTTATTATTATGTGGTGTTGTTGTTGTTTTTGCTTGAATTGATTACGTTTGAGTACAAAATTATTACAGCAGCAGTTGGAAAATTTCTGATGCTGTTTCTTTTTTTTTGTTTTGTTTTCCTTTAGTTATATTAATTTGTTGTTGTTTATTTTCGGGTGCTGCTACACGCATGCTTTTGTATTATATATATATAAATCGATATATATATATATATATTTATTATTGTTATATTATTTGTAATTGTTGCTGTTATAGTTGTTTGTGTCCGGCTCTGTTTGTTGTTACTTTTGTTGCAGTGTTTGTTTTAAAATTTGCATTAAAATTATAATAGTTTATATTACTATATGGTTGTTGTTGTTGTTGTTCTTGTTGTTGCAGTGTTTGTTGTTGCTGTTTATGTTGCTGTTGTTGTTGTAGGTGTTGCTGTTGTTGTTGCCTATGCTATAGCGAACCAGCCGGAAAACTTGTTGAACTATTGCTATGCGCTAAACTAATCATGGAACCAGACAAACTGCCCTCCTCATCCGGATAGGTCTCGCGTGATACCTCAGTTAATGATAAAGTGCTGAAATACCCGATATTTAAATACATGTAAACATATAGTGTGTATATTTAGTTTCATACCTGAAACCTAAGGCTATTGATTCATTATCAAAAGCTTCCAATTCTTTAGCATGCTTCTCGTGTTTCATGCGCAAGCGCTCGGCACGCTCCAAATTGAACTGTTGCAATTCGGCATCCATCTTAAATGAGCATTATTAAATTAATTTCAAATTGATTGCATAAGCTACAAATACAAACAGCTACCTTATTCTCCAATAGGCCACGCCGCACGCTGACCCGATTCTCGAGCTCGCGTCGCTCGCGATCCCGCTGCTCCTGCGCCTGCTTCTTGTTCTTGTTCTGATAGGCTGTGAGCATATCCAGTTCGTATTCCAATTGCTCATTGGTACGTTGGCACTCGATCACTTGACTCTCGTCTAGTTTATAACTTTGACTTTGGAACATGTCGGCAATGCTTTGTTCATACTGTGCAAAGGCAAAGGAACATCAGTTTGGGCATGAGTAATGTGTGGCATTATGGTTATATTGCGCATCATTACCTGTTCACCCAGCAGCGTCAGCTTGCGATGCTTCTCCTCCTTAAGCTGCTTGATAACCTCCTTTTGTTGCTCTTTGGGTGTCGTTTGCAGCACTTGCGCCTTGTAGCGTTTATATTGTTTTGTTTGCGTTTTGCATGTCTCGCGAAACTGTTTGCGTATCTGCAGCTCCTTTTGCTGTATGGGAACGGGAACATTGTATTCAAATCAATTGTTGTTGTTGTTGCGTCTTAAAATGATTTGGCGTGTTTACCTTAAGGCTCTTGGGCTGTTGTCTTAACTCGAGCGCATGCTTGCGCAGCAGCTCCTTTTTAATGCGATCCATGTAGTCTTTTTGATTGTGCAACTCCGTGTCGTGCTGCTTGTTTATCTATCGAATGTATATATACCATGGATATAGTCAATGTTTGAGCTGATCATACTCGCATACTCACTTGCTCCTCGCGCAACTGATGCACGCTCTTCTGCTGGCGGTACTCCAGCTCCTGTGTCTTTTCGTGGTGTTTCAACAGCATGCCATGGGCCTGTTCCAGCTGCTGTTGCTTCTTGCTGAGCTCCTGCGTACCATTAAAATGATATTGTTATAATAATTCGTATATAAAGGGTTTGTTTTTTTGTCATATTTACATCGCGCAACAGCTGATCCTCCAGTTCGTGCAGCAATATCATGCGTCTTCGCTTGAATTTGCGCATCTCGAGCTCAATGTATTGCTTTTGGGCTTGCAGCATGCGTTGCTCCTCCTGGGCCTCGTGCTGCTTTAGATTATCCTTTTGCGATTGCAAGGTTAAATCACGCTGACGCTTTGGCGTTGACTCATCCATGGAGAGTTCGCGTTTCCAGCGCTCCTTGTTCGCTTTGTATTCCTTTTTGCGATTCAAATCGAACACCTTACGATCGCCTTCCTGCTTCAGTGTAATCTCTTTATAAAGTTTCTTCTCGGCCGCTGTCGTCTGCTTCGCGCGTCGTTCCGAATCCTGCTGATGCTTGGCCTGCAATATGTCCAAAGGATAAGATCAGTTAGATTAATTAAGTTTATTTAAATAGGCCAGCTTACCTCGAGGCGTTCCAGTTCTCTGGTAAAGTTATGCAATAGATTATCGTACTCCTTGTCCAGCGCCGACTTGTGCGTCTCCATTTCCACTTTGCATTTCTCCTCGAGCTTTAGCAGCGTCGCCTGATGCTCCCGTCGCATGCGCTTGTATCCGGACATTTGTTCGTGCATCTCCTCCTGCATTTTCGAAAATTAACAGCCAGCCACAAATATTGTACATATTTAAACATAAGCTAGTTAATCGACTATCTGTCTGTGTGCGTGTGCATGAGGCGCTTTAGCAACAATAACTATAACTACAACTTACAATAATACAACTAAGCTCCCATTCGTTCCTAACCTCGAACTTGGAACATTTTATGCAAGGCAAAATCATAGCAACTTGCAACTTGCAACAGCTGACGCGTAAAAGCTCAATCAAAGACAACAACAAAAAAAAAAGTGAAGCAAGCACTATTAACAATAAACACAATTAACTTAAACAATTGAAAATCGCAGCGTCATTAAATCAAAGAAAAAATGCCGGCGGCCAGCTGTCAAACTTGTCAAAATGTCAAGAGTGCGAGAGAATGTGAGTGGGGGAGGGGGGAGTGAAATTGAGCTAAGTGGAGAGTGGAGAGTGGCGAAAAGCAAGGTAAAAAAGAAGAAGAACAACAACAACAATGCAAGCAGCATAGAACAAAATTTGAGCGAAGGCCGAGTGCATGTATGTATGTATGTATGTGCGTTTGTGTTGGTGCGCGATCGCTGCTAAAGTGCTAAGTGTGTGTGCGTATGTGTGTGAGTGAGTGTATGTGTTATTGTTTTTGATGCACTCAATTTGCAAATAAGTCTTTGTTTGTTTGACATTAGGTTTCTTAAACATTTATTGCTCTATTTATTGTCATGGACTTGGCCCACGCACACACAAGCGCACATACATTAATAAATACATATGCATGTATGTATGTATATGCACATATGCATGGAAGTGTACACTCTTTTCAGTTTGAAGTTTGATTTAGTCATTGATTAGGATATCACACAGGGACAATGATTTAGATTTTGGCATTGTTTCGGACTGCTACTATTTTTAGCCATGTGGAAGAAGCTGTCATCGTGGCCAGCGAAGTCATCAGCATCCGGCTCGTTGCCGCAGCAGAAGCAGGAGCAGGAGCAGAAGTTATAGCGCGCCTATTTGTTATGCGGGAGAGTAGAAATAGAAACAAACAACAACAAAGTTTGCATGTAGTAGTAGAGTAGAGCAAAAGTTAGCACGAAACGTTTTGGAGAGCGAGAGAGCGAGCGAGAGAGCGGCGAGCAAAAGCAACGGGAAATGACAGCTGTGACTGGGACTATGAATCGGTTGGTAGGAGCTGCTGGCAGGACGCAAGCACACACACACACGCACACATACACACACATATATAGAAAAGCACACGATGACAGCAATGAGAGGTAAGAGAGAGAGAGAGAGATTTTGAGAGAGCCAATCGATAATGTTTGCGTTATCGATAAATGTTAATGACAAGCAGGCCCTACTATTTGCACTACAACTAAAGTGTTCTCTACACACACACTCACACACACACGCGCGCACACTCATCATAATGAGCTTTGTTGATTGTTGTACATATGTATGGGTTTTCAGGCTTAACTATGGCACACACCTGCATATGCTCCTTTTGCTGTTTGGTCACAATGCTCGTCGTCCGTATGGTGGCAAAATTATTGGGTCCATGATCGTTGACGGCATTGGAGATGGCCTGCTGCGAGGATGACGATGTGGCCGCATAGACAGCCGCCTGGGCGGCCGGCGTTGATAGATAACGTGGCTGTATTCCAGTCAAGCGATGATCACCGCCCGCCGGTGAGCCGCCCGTGCTGCTACCGCCGCCGCCCATGCCACCAGCAGCACCAGCATTGCCGTGCCCCAAGCCGGCACCCAGATGGGGCATCACCGATAGCGGCGGCGCTGGTGCTGGCACCACCGATGCCGAATTCGTCGGCGTCACATTGTTGTTCATGGTGTGCATTATGTTTGGCAGCGGCGGCAGATTGCGATGGCGCGACGAATTGCGAGAGACGGCGCCACAGGCAGAGCCGCCCGATTGCTGTTGCTGCTGCTGCTGCTGCTGTTGGGCATTCGACCAGTTGCTCAGATGCTGCTTCTGCAGCTCCTGCTGATGGTGCATGGCAGCGGCAACGGCTGCAGCGGCCACCTGCTGCTGATGATGCGCCCCGATATGGTGATGATTCTGCGCTGCAGCCGGTATCGAATTCGACGAGGAGCTCTACAAGATTAACATATACAAAAAGCATTAAATCTTGACCAAACAATGATGCTATCGATTGCTATCCCACCTGACTACTGGCCGCCGATACACCCACCGAGTGTATGGAGTGTTCGGAAGTAATACTATTGCTCTTGCTGCTGTCGCCGCCGGCATGATCGTCCTGCTGGTCGTCCGTGTCACCGACGGCGCTCTCCGTTTCGCACGTGTCCACCATGAGTATCTTCTTCATTTTGCGATAGTTAAGGTTGTCCAGCTCACGCACCGCCGACTTGGTGCGCGCGATCAGCTCCAGCAGCACCGTCTCGGAGCGCGGACGCGTCACGTAGCTGTGCTGCAGCAGCTTGGCCGATGAGGGTCGCTCCGCGGGCATCTTTTTCAGGCAGAGGTCCACAAAATTGCAGAACGTATCGGACCAGTCGTTCTTCTGCAAAATTAATCGTATATCGATACGTTTATTGTTTATCGATAAATCAAGCAATGATGAATGAGCTGAGTTTGAATCGTTTACAAATTAATCGCTGATCGATAAGTAAAGCAATGATCGATAAATTCATTTGTTTGTCAATATTTAACAATAGTTAAGAACGTTCTGCAAAATCAGATGGAGGCATTAATCGTATATCGATACATTTATTGTTTATCGATAAATCAAGTAATGATCAATGAGTTGCATTTAAATGGCTAATCGATAAGTTCACTTGTTTCGCAATAATTAAAATTGATCGGTTAATCGATAATTACCGGCAACGTGGGCGACTCGTTCTGTGCAATGTGATACAGTGCGGACATGGCATTCATATTGAAGTATGGGGGCTTGCGCTCGGCCAGCTCGATGCACGTAATGCCCAGGGACCAGACATCCACCTTGCCGTCGTACTGGCCCTCGTCCATCGCCAGAATGACCTCCGGTGCCATCCAATAGGGCGTGCCCACAAAGCTATTGGCCGGACACTTGATGGCGGCACTGCCAAAATCGGCCAGCTTCACCACGCCCATGTCCGTGAGCAGAATGTTGCCCGCCTTGATGTCGCGATGGATGCGTCCCAGCGAATGCAAATAGCTCAGGCCGCTGAGCACGCCCAGGCAAATGGCAGCGATCTCGTCCTCGTGCAACGGCTTCTTGTGTACCTCAATGATGTCTGAGGCGGAGCCGACGCAATATTCCATAACCAGCCAGGCAGTGGATTCGCGCAGGTAGCAGCCCTTGTATTCAATGGTATTCGGATTATTCAATTGACGTAAGAAGCTGCAAATAATCGGATTAAATTACGGAACATGTATACGTATTTATCTAGAGGTAAGTGTGATAAATACCGTATCTCCTTGAGTATATCCTGCCATTTCTCTTGGCTCTGCTTGCCCGTATATGACATCTTCTTGATCGCCACAATCTCCTTGTTGAGATTGCAGCGAGCATAATAGACGGCACCGAAGGAGCCATGGCCAATTTCGCGCAAATCCTCAAAGATCTTCTCCGGATCATGCTTGTTGAATAGATCGGCTATTTCCGGATCTTTGAGACTACCAGGACGTGCCGATGGCATCTCAGTTATTCATGTTATGCTCCCAACCAGCACTCACTCGCTCGCTCTCTCTCTCTCTCTCTCTCTCTATCTTCTTCCTTCCTTCCTTCGTTCTCTCTCTCTCACACACACAACACAACACACGCTCGCTCTCACGCGGCAGTAGAGCTGTCAACTTGTTTGTGTTTCCTTTTGGTCTGTTGTTCTGGCTCGATATCGCTTCTTCCTCAATGGACAGACAAGAATCTCCTTCTGCTGCGCTCTGCAAACGAAAGTGTTATTGAAAATTACATATGTATGTGTGTGAGAGCACTAAACTATGCCTGTGTACGTGCGTGCGTGTATGCGTGTGTTGTGTGTATGTGATAAAAAGGAGAATTTCATGTTTTTGTTGTCGCATTCAAATCGATCAAGTGATTCACACTACTCGTTCACACACACACACACACACACATGAATACGCTCATATCTCATTCAGTATTCCGACCGACCGACCAGAAGCCGCTTATCAAAAATATATGCGAAATATGTATTGTTCTTTTTTTGTTACGTTCTTTTGGCACTATGTCTCCAAAGCCCTCATTCGACCACTTACTGAGAGTAGCAAGTAACGGTGCATCATCATCCAGTTACGGACAATTTGAATGCTAAAGAGAGTCATCGCACGATATTACGCTCTCAACTAAATCTGACATTCTTATTGATGCGTAGCTTTAAAATTTAGGTTCTAAAGTAGGCGGAGGGTGTAAGAGGGTAAAAGGGAGTGAAAGAGAGAGAGAGAGAGAGAGAGAGAGAGAGAGGGAGAGAGTAGCACACGTGCATGTGTGCTACATATATGCATGTGGCTCTGGGTAATTCATAATGGGCATGTAGCGGTACTTATTTAATGCCCAGCTGCCGCATGCAGACGAAAAAAGGGTTGCAGCACTTGGCAGTCTTTTCTTTTTTTTTTTTTTTGTTGTTTCTTATCTGTGTTGTTGCAGCGAAAATCGTGCGTTTTGAATGAACTTTTTGCTAAGCATTTTGCCAGCGTGCTAATTGCTAAAACTATTTATTTGATTTGTTTGGCTCTTTTTTTTTTTTTTTTTGTTTAAAAGCGAAACGGCAACACGCCTATTTTTCAAACACACACACAAACACACACACATACACAGGCAGCCATGTCTCGTTCTCACACACAGCATAAACTGACACACACGCACGTATATAAATAAGCGTATGCATCTGTGTTTGTGTGTGTCTGTGCGTGCGTGTGTGTGCGATGTCGGTTGTTTTGCATTCGCCCTGTCTTTTTGTCTCTTTACTCTTCATGCTGTGCGCCTTTGGAGCTTAGCAGCAGCGTTTAAATTAGCTGTTGTGTGTGTTGCTGCTGTTTAATTTAGTTTAATGGCTGTTTTTTTATTTTTTATTATTTATCTTATTGTGCCTGCCTGTTAAATTTGGTTAATTAATTTGATTTAAGTTTTGTTTATTTGCTGCGATCTTAATTTTTTTGTTTTATTTTTTTTATTTATTTATTTTTTTTTTTTTTGGGTGCGGACAAACGCATACAAAAAGCAAATCGCACGACGCTGCGACGTCGTCATCGACGTCGCTGCTTTTGTTGTTGCCGCTTGTCAGCGGACATAGCCTGCAATTTTGGTTAACCGTAAGAAAGAGATTTGTATTTTCTTTTTTATTGGAAAAGTTAACGTAGGGACACCATTTAAGTTGTTGGACAATTTTTAACGATGTATAAATTGTTTTGCTTGCACATTGTACACACACACACACACACATGCACACACACAGACGCTGGCACGCATACACACACCCACACACACCGACAGCAGCTACATAGACAACTATGGTGCGTTCTCTTTCTCGCTGCGGCTCACTCACACTCACACCCGCACAAAAATCAAACGCACACACACATACACACATATAGACGTTCGCCATCCAACACCAATTGCATGTAAAAAAAATATGATAAAACTATGGAAAATGATGTTTTCCTTACATTTGTGCCGCTTACTTTTGCAATTCAAACACTTTTTGCTAATTTAACAACACGGCTGCGGCATTTTTCCTCTGCATGCGTCGTTTTTCTTTCACGTCAGTTCGGCCTCTGACTGCTGCCGTTTCTGCTGCTGCGGTTTGCCTGCCTGCCTGCCTGCTGGTATTGTTTGCTTTGCTATGTTTCGCCTTGCACTGCACACGCGTTGCGTTTTACATATTTACACTTGCAACATTTTCGTTTAAAGCATGTGCCGTTATATATATTCAATTACATTTGCTTTGCTTTTAACATTTAGTTTTTGTCAATTTTCCTTCATCAATTAATTTGTATGAGTTACGTATATATGTATATGTATATATGTATTTTGTAAGTGTTGGGCAATTTCGTTTTTGCAGATTTTCGATTTTGCAACAAGTTGGCAGCCCACAATACCAGAAAATACTAGGAGAAATAAAAATACCATTAAATTAAGTAGCAAACTATCTGGCAACAACATATGTTACATTTTCACAGCTGTTTTGATAAACCGTTGGCTTTAATTGATTTGAATTTTTGCGTTTTCTTGTGCAATTGAAGTGATCATAACAACTGTTGAGAATATCCTTAAATTTCAACTGCACAAACGAATACATTTTTTTTTTTTTTCAAAAACATATTTTTCACTTACGTGTTTAGTTTTGTAGCATTAATTTGGATTCTTGATCTGCTAGATCGTTCTGGACTTTACGCCGAAATTGCCCCAGGTAGTGTATATCAGAGAGTTGTGGAAAAAAATATATATTTTTTTTATGAATAACGCTGCGAAAGCAAACCAATAAAAATAGCAACAATACAAAGAACAACAACGTTAATAACGTATGGGGGGAGAATATGCCTCACTCACTCACACACACACACACACACACACACGCACGCACGCAGCCGAGAGAATGTCAAAACTGAGCGCTACAGAAGTGATGGCGATATGGAGAGCAGAAGAAGAAGATAGGCACGTAGCGTACAACAAAAGCGTCGTCGTCGCCGTCGCTGTCGCTGTCGCTGTTGGCGCAAGGTAGATTGTGGCCCCCAATCATTTTTTTAGTATTTAAAGAACAGTCGGGCAAGCAAGTCAAAAGCCGCTGCGCGAGCGACAGCCATAGCGAGAATAAGGCAAACGTTTTTAAAGTAAATACGGGCAATATATTTAAAAATATATACATATGTGTATGCATACGTAATCTGTATATACATAAATATATATATATATATGTGTGTTAAGCTTATGAATCAATTCAATTGTCGAAAATTCACATAAAATCAGCAAACAAATTGCATTTGTCATCAGACATCGGAGTTTGTTTTGTGCTCTTGATTCTTTCTTCCTTTACTTTTCTTCTTTTTTTTTATTTGTGAGCCAATTGTTGCTGCGTCTCTATGCGTGGGTGTGTGTGTGTGTTAGCTGTTTGTTGCTACGCACGAAGAAATGCTAAAAATGATAAAAGCGAATGTGCGTGAAATAACAACAATTAATAAGCAGCAGCCATGTAAACAAGCGCATATGCTTGTGTGTGTGTGTGTGTATATATGTATTCAAAAACAATAAATGTGTGTGTGTGTGGCGCTGTCTGCCCTAAATAAATTAATATGCGTACAAATGAACATTTTGATGCGCATGCAGATACACATTCTACACATGTACATATGTGTATGTGTATGTATGTATGTGTGTGTGGTTTTGCCTTAGCGCGGCAAAGCGAACGCGCGCGCGCATCACTCTGCGCCGCCCTGCGCGCGCGCTTTGGTCAATGCTACGATCGCTGGCCCAAATTCAGTAGCTGTAAATGCCCCCACACTAGAGCCCATGAAAGCTGTCCCCGGGGGTAATTTGCCTGCTGCTGCTTCTGCTGCTATTTTCAATTTATGACTTCCATTGTTCTGTGCACATTTGACAGCAATCAAAATGTACAACCCTGCCTGTTGAGCTTGTTTTTGTTGTTGTTGTTGTTGTTGCATTGCTGGAGCTTCCCAGCTGTCAATATATTGCATGCACACACACATACACACACACGCACACATTTGCATACATACATACCGATAGTTATTTATTTGCCTATCGATCATGTGGCCTAAAGATGAGCTAAAGATAGTTTATTGAACCTGTTTGCCGATATGCGATATACGATGTTTGCGTGTGTTTCGCATTCTGTTGGAACGCGCTGCATTTGTGTGCGTGCATGCGTGTATATGTGTGTATATATGTATGTGTTAATTGTATGGCATATTAGTTGCAACAATTCGTTTGACCATAAATGGCAGCAGTCAGTCAATAAACCCACGTCCCACACAGCAAAAAAAATATGTGTATGAATTTTAAGTTTGTATTTCGTTTTGTTTTTGTTTTTTTTTGGGATCGTTTCTGTTGTTGCAAACTAAACGCCATAAGTGGCATTCATTATATACTGGAAGTGTGCGCGCATTCCTATATTTGTTCAAATATCGATATACATGCCCATTTGTTCAATATTTGTGAGTACACTGCGCGAAAAAATGCGCAAATAGAATGCTAAATGTGCTTAAAATGTACATTAAAGAAATATAAATTCATATTCTTGAATATATAGAAAATATTGAACTTTTTTAATTCGATTTTATTTCTTTAAACTTACTTTTAAATGCTGGTATAGTAAAAAGTTATTGAACTCTTTTCGTTAAGTGTACACAAATAGCATGTGTATAAATAATATTTCGATAATTTCTCTCATTTGCTCCAAATTACAAATTAATGCGTTTTTAAAGGCAGCTCGATACAGATCGGACTTTATGTACCGAAGCTATACAAGCATACATTTCCCTTTGATCCCTTTGCTATTAACTAAACTATTTTTTTTTTATTAGTTACTTGCAACCCGTTTGTATTTTTTTTCAGTGCAGTCGATCAGTGGCACAGTTTGTTCAAGTTTTCTGTTTTGCTTCTAGCAAGGTGCCTGGTTCAAAGCACCTTGGCGCCAGTTTGCTTCAAAGTAGACGACACACACACGCCCACGCCCACACACACGCCCACACACACACACACGCACACCCCCAATGACAGCCACCTGTCTAGCTAATGCGGAACTCTCGCATTTTCAATGCCATTTTGGCTCTTACCACAGTTTTCCACACTTTTCGCACTTTCACCGTAAATCATGGCCAATTACGAGTATTAGCAAAGGGTGTGGAAATCGAACTATCAATAATGCCGCAAAGTCCCGCATTAAAAACTGCACACACACACACAGTGAGAGACAGTGCGTCATCAGTGTTGTGTCTGGTACCGGTCCCTCTCACCGCCCCGCCCCGTCCCTGGCCAGCTGGGCACCAAAATGTCTCACAATGACCTCACAGTGTGCGTCATCATTAATGAAACAGTTGCACGGCAAGCACATTAAATCGAAATACAAAAAAGTCGAAAAATTGAAAAATTTCAGAAGAATTTTAATGCATAGGAGACAGCTTGAATGGAATTTCGCAATGCCTAGATACGGGCGATAGTTTGTACACTGAGAGAAAAGAAACCAAACTTGTTTTAAGTATGCGACAGATTTTGATAGAATTAAGCATTTCGCCATTAAACAACAATAACCAGCTTGTTTTGAGTCTGTTTAAAAAAGCTTAGCCTATTTTTGTTGTTGCAATTTATGAAAAAAATATATAGATCTAGATAAATAGATGATATCAAAGCAAGAATTTGCACTGAACGATTTCCAGTTTCGTATGAGTTTTGATTATTTCTGAAAGAAAGTTCACAGAAGTTCCGACTCGATGCTTGTTTTGTGTCCATATTTACTTGATTGTTTCTTCGAGTGTAGCTTCTCATGCTTCAACAGGTGATGCGAGACATTATCTCCGACCTGAATCTACAGCCTGTCTAGATAACACACACTCACACACACACACACACACACGCAAGCACACACTCACACACGCACACACAATCAAGAAGAAGTATGTATAAATTTATATTTATATTTAACTAATATTCTTCTCTCTTGCAGATCTCATAGAATTGGCTTGGCAGTGAAGGATATCTGAGATACCCAAACCTTAATTTACACACCCATCCACACACACACACACACACATACACACATACACACATAGACACACACAATAAAGGAGCTAAAGCAGTTACTAAAATGCCCGTCTTTCACACAAAAACCATCGAGAGCATATTAGATCCTGTTGCCCAGCAGGTAAGCGTCTGTCAAATGTACTTTAGTTAGTCAAGGTTTAATTTTAAGAAATGCCTAAAATACTGTAACATCTTCTTTATATACATATATATACGATAACACTCAACTATATATATATATAGCTATAACAAGCGTGCAAATTGGCGCCCAAGAAGGTAAATTCAGAAGAATTCGAATACGTGTATTGAAATTAGATTTAGCGGCATATTACAGTGATTGCTCGCTAATTGAAACACAATTCAAATTTGTGCACTCCCAAGAAAAAGTGAAATCTCAATTGTAATGGCCAGAGATGAACTCTAGAAACACTTTGAAAATTCCAAGAGAATAATCAAAAAGAATGTAGTTCCCTTTTATTTGGACATTGTAATGTTCGAGCGATCACTGTATTCATATATTTAACATACTAGAATTTGGTAGTTCATAGTTAATTCTAGACATTTCAATTGATTTATTGAATATAATGTGATGTGCACATTATTCGGTTTATACTCTAAAGTGCTTGATTTTGATTTGTTCTTTCCTTCATTATTGTGGTATTGTTAATCTTAGCAAAATATTTGTATGACTGACAGTAGACGCTAGAGCCTTGTTGATTTTGACCTATATTCAATATGGTTACACTGGTAAATTGCATTTTTTTTGACAATCTGGCAGCGCCAAATAACTGCATAGGCGCATTAAGTTGGCTGCGCTCGGCTTTAAACTCAATCGAGGCGCGAACTGCGACTGTTCAATCATGATATCTAGATAAAAGCTATATATTTTATATAACGAAAGTCAGCGCAGCTGTGTAACATGTGTAGAGTATTATACCATATAAATATCTATAGCAATATCTAAGAAGCAGACTTTGAGATGCGTTCATGTTTCTTGCCTGCTGCTGCTTGCTCTTCTTCCGCTTGATTTTCTCATTTGTAGGGTCTAAAAATAAACGAGGTGGAAAATAATAATAATAATAGAAGAAGATATCACAACAACCTGAGCCTGACGACACACAAAAAATGTTAATTTAATAAAAGAGCAAGCCAAAAAAAAATTTGTTAGCAACAAAACAAAAATAATAAAATAAACAAGACGCCAGC